GGTCAAGTGTACGTTGATGACAAATATCGGTCAAGTGTGTGTTGATAACAAATGTCGGCCCGGCCATGTATACGTGGATGACAAATGTCACCAAGTGTACCGTGGATGACAAATGTCGGTCAAGTTTGCGTTGAGGACAAATGAACATGACGTGTACATCCTAAGCAACTGGCCGTCAAGTGTTACACCATGGTAGCCGTGATAGAATTATTATACAACCCACTTTACAATTGTAAGTCGAGCTAACTGTGCGTTTGTCCATTAAAGTAAACGAGTCCGTCTATGATTAGAAATAAATTCATACCTACATTTAATTACAGGGAGTTCAGGGACAAACCGGAGAAACCAGGCATTATGGGTGCACAGGTATGTATTGTGATTTCACGCTTTATTGTATTTTTATTGGGTGATTAACAATTTTCTTGACGACTTTTTATTCCGAGTAATTTGATTGTTTTGTATTTTATTCGTAATTCACAGGGAAGCCGAGGACCCAAAGGTGACGTTGGTGACCGTGGGTGGCCAGGGCAACAGGTACCACGTGATTTTTTTTATGATGGATACTGTCGTCGCGCAATAGACTATATGAATGATTTATTTTACACGCGTTGTATACGTCGCATCTGATACAATATGAACGAATGCATGCATGTTTGACACAGGGTATTGGATGGCAAATTGGATTTTTATTTACCGTAACACTGTGTCTTTGTTCGATGAAAAATTGTGCAGTAATTGTTTAAGTAATCTAGATCAGTGTTTAGAAACGATTGTATGAGTTGAAATTAAAAATTCCGTTGGTATATTTTTAACATATTCAAAATATGTGCGATTTACCAAACCCGACAAAATACGAGGAAAGAATTTATGTCACATGAAGTGTGATAAATGTCACTTTTAATTACTAGATTTTTCTGTGTCATTACTCAGTTTGACGTTCCATGCACTGACCATACTCTATCGCACCTCATTCTCAGACCAATTCAATCACATTTTTTGTGTGTCACGACGTGAATATAAAATGTTGCATGTTAAATGTTACATACTGAAATATCTTCTCGACTTGTAGGGTCCTTCGGGGACAAGAGGATACCCAGGATCAACAGGAAAACAGGGAATTCCAGTAAGTCGCTCATTTGTTAAATCCTCGCCTCATTACGAATGTATATTACAGCATACACAGCTTACAATGTTAAAAAGTACTAGATGATTATCAGTAAGCTGCCTCTTCCGTTTGTCTGGTTGTTGTGTTAAAGCGAGAGGGTCGTCACCTGCGCACGCGCGGGAATTGAGTCCCAAGCGACGATAACAACACACGCTAAAAGAGAAAGGCAATGACACGCTATGGCCATCCGACGCGTGCGCAGGTGATGACTCCCTCGCTTTAAATTCAACGGTCCCCGCTTTGGTTCATCGATTTTTGCGTGTGGTTTTTTTGCAGGGAGTCCCAGGCGAAATGGGTGGACAGGGGACGAATGGCGAAATGGGCCCGAAGGTGAGTCGGCTTTAAATTGTTACGTCAACGGTATCAGAAGAAGCATTATGTATATTTTGTTAAATTTGTCATTAAAGTATCCATGTTGTTTTGTTACAGGGAAGTATAGGTTATATTGGGGAAAAAGGTCTTGCAGGATTACCTGGACAGCAGGTAACAATACAAATGTCAATTTTATAATTGAGCTTAGTTCGTATTGTAATTAAAAAGAGTGTGTGTATTTGTTTTGAGCACAGCGATCGCTAAATCGAATTAGCTTGAGTGGACAACGCCAACAATGACGCGCTTGGCTGGTTCACATTCACTGAATAATCAATACACATTTCTTGGTAGGGCGCACCGGGTAGTATTGGCAAAAAAGGTGTACGTGGAGCTAAAGGAGCAAAGGTGAGTAAGTCAAATACGATATCACTATTTCAAGAGATTTCACAATTTCCGATTGTGTTAAGTTAGTATAACGTGATTGTGCGAGTGTATACATTCATTGCGTTTATGTATTTGTAATAATTTGTCGTCATTTGAGTCAATGTGGCGATTCTGATTATGTGTGACTTTCTCTCATCAGGGTCCACGTGGTCGTCGTCACGTCGGTGAAGTTGGCGACAAAGGAGAAATGGTACGTGGTGTATATGTTTAATTCGTACTATTTTGTTCAATCCTACCAACTACTACCAACTTGGTCTAATGGAATTTGTGTTAAAGTATTATTTCATAAAACATGAAAAGTACTCATCAGAGTTTTTGCAAAAATTATTTTGGAGATTGAATTTTGTAAATAACAGCCTAAAATGACGCTAAATACTAGTATATAATAACAGTCAATGAATTCAGATGATAAGTTTCAACAGTAACCAACTGCAGTATTTTCGTGAAGAATAGAGAACGTTAGCATGGGACACTGATATCTTCAAGTTCAGTGACAGTGCGTGTATATTTTTAGGGAGTCGAAGGGAACATGGGAAGACGAGGTGATCAGGGAATGTTTGGGAATATTGGACAGACAGGGAAACCAGGGTTAGAAGGTCCTCGAGGCCCAGCAGGTGTTAAGGTAAGTGATTATCTCTGTATTATAGACCTATATACGGAGACTTCGTTTATTTTTTTATGCTTTGCGCGTTGAATTTGTGAAGTAGAAATGATATATCCATTAAACGAATCGCAATATCCTTATATCATCAACAACTTTGAGACACAATGGACATGCGCATTACAGTAAATCATCAAACTGAACATCCTGCTCCCCACGTGTTACTCCGTATTCGTCTTGCTCCACACGTGTTACTCCCGCGTCCGTATTCACACTTAGTCATCAAGAAATAATTATTACCAGCATGCTAGAGACAGTCAGAGGTTTTGAAATGTTTTTTTTTTCTTAAATGTTGAGGAACTATCTGATACGAGATGTGTTTTTCTTTAACCAGGGAGAAAATGGAAAGATGGGAAATGATGGCCTACCAGGTGATCGTGGATTCCGTGGATCGAAGGGTGTCAAGGGGGGTCAAGGTGGAAGAGGTGATAGCGGTCGAGAGGTGTGTTTTGATATCAACCGACATACTGTCATATTCGAGTGATCGGCCAGGTTCACAGTTTAAAAATGTTTAGTGTTTTCTGTTCCTGTTGCTTCTTTTCGTTGGAGTGGTTGTTCAAGCATATTTGTTGTACATTGTCACGATCATTGATACAGTTTATATTATGCCTGATAATAGTTATCATAATTCATGATCTCCAAGGTATGACGTGAATCACTAATTCAGTGGTATGTGGGTGAATTACGCAACAGCAAATGTAGTTGCCAGATGAATCAAAATGTCACTATGACCTTGAACAATTGATCTCAATCTGGTGATTCGTAACGACTTGAGTATTCTACGATTCAACTATCCTTACTTGAATCTCTGGTATTTAATAAGATTCTGTATTAATTTCTAGGGTGAAAAAGGTGAGCCTGGGATCGAAGGCCCTCCAGGACTCGTCGGGGATAGGGTAAGAAATGATTGTAATCGCAAATAAAAGATAAACAGAATTTTGAGAAATTGCGTTTTCGAAGGCGGTGGTCGCATGTGCGACATCTGTGTTCATAAACATTGATTTTCCCACAATCCAATGCGCTCTTCTAATGGAAATCGCAAGTATGAGGTTTGACTTAGGCGCGACCGCCGGTGACTTTATAGATAACTTCCAATCACATAACAAATACCTAATTAAAGTTTGGTAACGTCTCACTTTGTACTCGTTGATCTACGCAACAGCCAAAGTCGCCATCTTTGTTTATATACGATCCATATATCTCGCGCATGCGTGGCGCGACGACTACCGCCCTTTAAAGTTTTTTAGACTTCAATATTTGGTAACGTTGTGTGAATAATGAACAGATGTAGTAGTAATGACGTCATCAGGGTCAGTTGATTGTAAGGCGTTGTAAGGCGAAGCGACTCGGTCTCGTTTGCATTGTTACTGTATTGTATTGATTGATGATTTAAATAAATAAGTTGATGGCGCACACGCGAATCATTCCATGCGACTATTTTGACGAACTGTGACATTCTTTATAATTTTGTGTTTAATCCCAGGGGCCAATGGGAGCACGAGGAATACAGGGACCAAAAGGTGAACCAGGAATTAAGGTACGAACATGTAGATGAGTTTGTATACGAGGTTATATCCTTAGCAGTAGGTCCCTACTATATAACTATACAATGTTTGTGTTGACTATAGCATGGTGATTCGAACACAACGAACCGACACATATTGTCGACAGTGTTATTTCGCGCATCTAAGTTACGAGACAACAAAAACACTCTTGACAAACAATAATGCAAACTTAAATCGGAGAACGATGTAGCACGGTATTTAGACAAACTTATTATCATTTATTCGTAGGCGATGCAAGGTGAACCCGGTAAAACTGGTACACATGGAGAGCCAGGATTACAGGTATTGATAGTTGTATTAACTTATGGTTATCATCGTAAAATTGGGGATACTATACACAGGCTAGCCTGACTAGTAGGCGTGAGTGGCGCCCTCGCCGGCCGAACGGCATCAGACCCCACTAACGTGTGTTGGGTTTGGAGCACAGCGGAGGGCGCAACACACGCGACCTTCTCAGGCTATACACAGGCTTATTTCGAATATTGTCCTTGTATATTGTCCTTACATATCTGCTGTACATCCCCTGGGTGATTGGTGGTGGATTAACGATGTCATGGAGTTATTACAGTTTTCATTCAAATTAATCTAATATAAAGGCGTTACCGTATTCATTCATTTTGTTATTGCTGTTTACAGGGGGTGCGAGGTGAACCTGGTGAGAAAGGAGACCAAGGCATTGCTGGTAGCAAGGTAATTGTAAAGAGTGTAAATAGTAATTTTAAAACGAGGGAGCAGTCACCTGCGCATGTCACAGACTGCCATAGCGTGCCGTTGTTTACACGCAAGTATGCCCATAATCCTTTGCGGTTTTGTTTTTCGAGTCCCACATGTGAAGTGAGTACAACTTAATATCGTGTGTAAATGATATAAATCAACTACGTCATTATATAGAACAGTTTAATTCATAGCATTTTTATACCCGTAATGCTATTACACTGTGATCATTCTGGAGTAGCGATCGAAACAATATTTTGAAAACCACTGTAATTCACATTGCACGATTATTGGTAGCCTTATTTCAGGCAATCACAACATACTTCTGCAGCTCCAATATACTTATTAGTGTTAGATGGATTTGCTATTGCTTGGGATATACTATAAGGATATTACGAGAATACCTCAAAGTATGTACGCAGACAGTACAGCTGGAGTATCGACCGACGCGCAACCTTATTATTATACATCGTTTCCTTCCAAAGATACACCACAGTCACTGTACTGCTAGTAGAGTGATTGTGGATACACCATGGGAATGCCGAAATTATAAATCTTTAGAACAGGATCAGCGAACCTCTTTGGAGTCCGGTCAAACTCTGGTGGTACCCATGATTGTTTTTATTATTAAACGACACTTACGCGCGTAAATTGAATCATTCCATATTTGGAATTCGCATTATGATAGGATGAAAATACCCCGTAAAATGCCGCAAAATTACGGCACGCTGTTACGGTGACAGATGTATAATGATTACTCTTTATCTAAACATTTCAGTGTCAAGCATTTCATGGTACGGATTGCGCAATTCTCCCAATGACCCATTAAAAGTACACACAACCTCTGAACATACAGGTCATACTGAGGTTTTTTTCACATTGTGTTTATATTTGTACAGTTGTGCATTGAGAGATATTGTGATATTCGTCATGCAGGTCTTAAGCAATCAAGGAAATGGCTGTAGTAAAAAAAAAATGTAAAGTAAATGTATTAGTGCTACAGTGACTAGGACTACTAAATTGCCGGCTGTTATTAATGTCAATAATTAATCAACAATATGACCTAGCTATTTGAAACGAGGAAGTTTTTTTTTTTTCTATTTTAATTTTTCCGTCCACTGCGAGATCCATTGTTAAGCGTGATATCGAATGTATAACAGGACATACAAGGGTCATAACGTCATTATGGTAGCAAAGCAACGCATGGGATTTAACAAATGCAAAACCATTTGGGGGTATTTCCACGCTTAAAGCGGGAGGATCGTCACCTGCGCACGCGCGGGAATTGAGTCCCAAGCGACGATAACAACACACGCTAAAAAACGCAAAGGCTCATGGATAGACGCTTGTTTGTAAACAATGACACGCTATGGCCATCTGACGCATGTACAGGTGACGACTTCCCCGCTTTAATAATGTGGTAAACGCATTTGATGATGGTCAATTGAGATGAAGTAAGGTTATCTCATCGCAACATTCATCTTCGAAAGATCAGCATTACAAATTCAGATTCAAATAATTCGATTTTTTGCGGCAGACGTTCGAAATGCACCTTTCACGTTTTACGCGAGTTCTCACGGTGAACGGAAAGTCGTTCAAAAACATAATTTATTAAAGTCAACTTCATAACACTCGGATACACAGGTGATATCACCAATAATAGCTCAACTGATAATTGCAATGTGCGTTACTTCTCGATATCATCAATCTCTGTATTAAATTTTGAAAATAGTATGCAGACGCAACTTTTGGGTATTTTTTTTTTATTTTCTCTCTAAACGCAATTCTATTTTGTGTACATTATAGGGACATCAAGGACTCGCTGGTTTGCCTGGACCCCTTGGAGAGGCTGGAATACCGGTCAGTTATAGTACTGTGTTGTTTCATTAGTACGTCTTTTTTAAGACGAACCTTGTTAGTATTATCAACAATCATGTTATTTCCGAAAATACTTTTTTATACGTACATAATTGCAATCTGTTCCGTCTGTCTCGACTCCCTAGGGTGATGCTGGCGTCCCTGGAGTTATTGGTCTTCCTGGTGCAGCAGGCCTGCCAGGTATTGATGGAATTCCAGGAGAACAAGGAGAATTCGGTCCACGGGGATTGCCGGTAATTTAATTCAATTCAATTCAATTCAATTCAATTCATTTCATTCCATTCCATTCCATTCCATTCCATTCCATTCCATTTCAATTTAACATATATCGTAAATGTTATCGTAATGATGCCATATGAAATCAGTTTACGTGTACCAGAATGAATAGTTATACTTGGTCATTACCTGCGCTGTAATGAATCTGACATAAATGATTTATACACTGTGGAGACAACAAGTATCAACAAGTAAATATATGGTGTTTTCTGATGGTGTGTCGTTGAGGCACACTAAGCTATATATTAATACACCACTTTCAGTGAATGAATATATATATATGTAAGATTGCACATTGCATTTCATGATTTTACAGTGGTTGTAGCACGTCACGCATGAAAAACGCAATGCCCCTCTCATCTTCTCACGCATTATTCGGGTGTGTGTATAGAAGTGGCACCAGTGGTTTGCGTGCCCACCTTTCATAAGGGCGTGGGGCAATTATACATCATGGAAAGTCTGGTACTGTACATGTGCTTAGCATGATCGCCTTAAAAGTTGGATAAGGCATGGGCAAAATTGTGCTTACCAATTAGGATAGGGAATCGCTGTCGCATTTAACCCTTGCAATAGATCAATGGTTCACTGATTTTTATAAATACATATTACGTGTAAGCCGACTCTTCTACTGACCCTGTGTGAACCCTTTTCAATGAGACACTTTGCTAACCATTTTCAGGGATTCCTTGCGCACCATTTCCACACTCCTCTCACCGTGTATAATGGCTTAATGCAATGGTTTGAATGTTTGTCCCAAATCAGGGTTTGATAGTTAGCGATAGGGACAGTGGTCGATGAGGGAGTGCCACAGTTGTTAGCTTTTCGCCTTGTACCAAGGCTTACGTGGACCGGCTACTAACGTGATTGAGTTTCATTCTACAAAGACCACCAAACACGCGGTATTATGTTCGGGGGGAATTTCGTCCTATCAGACGGAGTGATAACTCTTGATAACAACAACTGTCGGTTCTGTATACCAATCCCTCTTCTGCGAACGTTAAAGAAAACTTAAGTATCATTAATCACAAAAAGTAAAAGACTTCCGAAAGATTGTTGATCCATTGCACTCGGTGTCATCACTCAAGAGAGTGTTGCTTCCAAATATGTAATTGGGTTTGTCTGTTTACCTGGACAGCGAATACATAATTAGGTAATATGTATATAAATGACGGCGCTTATACCGAGGTAAATATAAATATAATTGTCCCAGCAACAAGGGAGATAATATTATCCCCGAATTGTTCCAATAACAAAGATAGTAACACGGAGTTATGTAGGAATTCCATGTTGCTAGAAAGTACTGTTGAAGCGGCAGGGTCATCACCTGCGCACGCGCGGGAATTGAGTCCCAAGGGATGATTACAACACACGCTAAGAACGCAAAGACTCATGGGTAGACGCTTGTTTGTAAACAATGACACGCTACGGCCACATGACGCATGCGTAGGTGATGACTCCGCCGCTTTAAACATGCATGTATTATAACGTGTGACTTTCTACTGTACTCATCCTATTTTTTTTCTCATCCAGGGTGTAGGTGGTCAACCTGGTGTACAGGGAAAAATTGGAAATAAAGGATTGCAGGTGAATATGCTTTTTCAATTGTATGTATGTTTTCCATAATTCAATGGAAAGGAGAGCGCACATATTCATATGGTTGAAAGAACACATGTTGTACTCTACTAGTGTTTTGAACTAATAACATCTCGGGAATTTGAATAATTTAAATTAAGTTTTCTAAAGCTTAGTGTCAGTGGTTGACTGTTACATGATTCTTATAACGGGATGTGTTGATTAATAGGGTGAGAGAGGATTTCCTGGAAAAGAAGGGCGACGAGGAAGTATGGGAGAAAGGGTGAGTAACATATCTGTTTCCAGATTATAAGTGTTCTGATATTGCCATGCTATATATAGTCATAGGCTGTGGCGTGCCTATGGCAAGGTTAACAACACAAATCAAGTTGATTCGAGACTGTCCCATAAACCCCATGTGGTGACAACACGTACACATGAAGAGATGGCACTCGTCTTTCTGACAATGCATTCTAAATCGTATGTAGACAGGTGCATTCTAGGTTTTATCTCAACGTTGACTGAACGTAAACTTGAACAATATGTGTGTCCATTTTGTGTGGACGTTTACGTTAGGTATTTATCGATATACTACACAAAACAAAACAACGTTTCAGTGGTCTAGTATCCAAACAGCCATATGAACAAATATAATTGTGACTTCTACAGGCTCCAATATTTCGAAATAGAAAGCAAAACTGATTGATATTGGGCATCTCTTCTTTTGTTGTATTTTTAGCTCCGCTGTCATCGAGGATCCTCTATTTTTAATGAATATTTATGTAATTTTTGATCAAAAATGTTATGCCTGTTCAATTACGTCGATAACTTGTGGGTTCGATGTTTGCACCATGCAAGTTCACGTGTTTCTTGAAATTACGGCGTTTTAAATCAAATAATTACCAGCTATCTCGTTGAAGAACTATTCAACCGATTTCAACGCAACGAGCGGAAGATGGAATTGAACCACTATTATACACGATGTTCAACAGTTGGTTGTGAAGTTGCCATGAGAACACAAACATTTAAAAATGAATTCCGTCTTCCGTTTCAGGGTGATGTTGGATTGCCAGGTGATCATGGTCCAGATGGGTTGAATGGCGATATGGTAAGTCAACAGTACCACTGCCGCAATTGATCTGTAGCGTAGATGATGTGTATTAATCAGTCATGGGGGATTGGGGTTGACAAATATTTCTTTTTTTT